CTCTGTCAGACAGGCTGGGATCAGCTGAGTTTGAGTCAGAACTTGAGTCTGGATTAGTCCTGGTTTACTCTTCAGTTATGTTTATTATTGGTCATCACACGAACAATGGAAAAGTCTGATGTGTTAGTTTGAAAGTGTTTTAGCCCAGTGTCTGTAGAAAGGACAAAACATCACAGGCTACAGAACATGTTCAATGTAAACTGTACATGTGAATATAAGTGAATATAAGTGAATATAAGTGAATATATGTGAATTTAAGTGAATATATGTGAATATAAGTGAATATATAATGTGAATATAAGTGAATTTAAGTGATATATATGTGAATATAAGTGAATATAAGTGAATATATGTGAATAAGTGAATATAAGTGAATATATGTGAATATAAGTGAATATAAGTGAATATATGTGAATATAATGTGAATATAAGTGAATATATGTGAATATATGTGAATATAAGTGAATATAAGTGAATACATGGGAATACATCTTACCTTCAGTGACAACATTTTTAGGTTGAATGATATGCTCATTTTGTTTACTTCATTCGTTGTTATTTGTTTTTAGTTTTAAATCACTTTATTTTAGTTTAGTTGATCTAGTTTTTTTGACAGGGACCATGTGCAGGAGCATTAATCAAAGAAACATTGAGGAGATGTTTTGTACCAGACTACTGAGGCACAAAAATATAGAACACACACACACAGAATACACACATAGTATTGTTTCAGTTCCTCCTTGTTTAGTCTTGGTTCAGTTCTGCTTTAGTCTTGGTTCAGTTCTGCTTTAGTCTTGGTTCAGTTTTGCTTTAGTCTTGGTTCAGTTTTGCTTTAGTCTTGGTTCAGTTCTGCTTTGGTCTTGGTTCAGTTTTGCTTTAGTCTTGTCAGTTTTTGCTTTAGTCTTGGTTCAGTTTGCTTTAGTCTTGGTTCAGTTCTGCTTTAGTCTTGGTTCAGTTTTGCTTTAGTCTTGGTTCAGTTTTGCTTTAGTCTTGGTTCAGTTCTGCTTTGGTCTTGGTTCAGTTCTGCTTTAGTCTTGGTTCAGTTCTGCTTTGGTCTATGTTCAGTTCTGCTTTGGTCTTGGTTCAGTTCTGCTTTAGTCTTGGTTCAGTTCTACTTCTTCTTTTAGGGCAGGACTCAGACTGAAGTTGGTTTAAACTGAAAGTAAGAGACACACCAGTGGATGCTCAGACGGTAAGAGGCTGTTTTAATCTCATATGTTTGTTTTTTGACAGTGAAGTCCTTCTGTAGGCGACAGGTGTATTATAAAACAGGTTTGTTTTTTAGACTTTTCTCTCAGTTTCTTGATCACTGCTGTAAACACATTTATGAATGTTACATGTTTAAGTTCATTATATGTTTTATGAAACTGTTCTTTTCAGAACTTTGAACCATGTTATTGTAGTTTCTTTTCATTGAGCCACCGAAGTTGTATTTGGAGTGATTCATGTTTGAGGAATCTTTAATCCTCAGGGGTTCCTGTAAAAGAGTCATGTTCAGGACATAAATGTCCACTCACAAAAACAGCTGTAAAAATATCATATATTCATATTTTTTGTACCTCTTTCAACTAAATCCCAATTTTATAAAAAAAAAATCATCAGGATTCTAATCACTCAATTACCAGTTTAGAAAACCAGAATTTGACATATTGACCTCTAAAACTGAGATATTTTGGAGAAAACAGAAGTCAGGGTATAATGGGGTACATTTTTATATTGACATTTGTGACAGGTGAACCTGTATCTCCTGTTTTTATCACACCCCTCTCTGCATGTAGACGGCTGATTTTCTTATTGTTTATCTGAAATTTACTTCAGTCAGTTGGTTTCTTTGTAGGAGACTTTGTAGATCATATAGCTTTTTTGGAGAGTTTTTGTATAAGAAAACAACAAAAAAAAGTCTCTTTTGCACACAAGTCTCTATCAATCTTATCTTATCAGCTCCAGGGTCCAGAGAGCTGGGGGAAGGTCGTCAAACTACTTGGTTTGGTGAAAAATTCCTTCTTAAAGTTCTGATACCATGGAAACAGTGAAGTGGTGCTTCTCAATTTCATAGGTCAAAATAGCAACACTACAGTTGTAGTGTTGTCCCTTCATCCTCCAGGTACTGCCTGCAGACTCTTGCCACATGAGGCCGGGCATTGTTGTGAGAGTAATAAATAAATAAAAAATAAGTAAAGGTAATTTTTGCAGTTTTTTTTTCAGACCCCATTCTAAACAAAAGGACCACCTCTGAAACTGATTTAAACTGATGCTACAGAAAAACTAAAAATGCCACAAACTTAAAATTTAAGTCAAACTTGAAAGCTTTCTAGGAGACATACAAACATTCCCCATTATACCCTGGCTTCTGTTTTTCTGGAAAATAGCTTAGATTTAAGGGTAATTTTTTTTCCCACAACATGTGAAATTCAGGTTTTCAATTTTTTTTATATAAATTTGATATTTTTGGTTTGAGCAGGGATAGATTTTTGGATTTAGTTAAAAATAATAATAATGATAATCTGAAAAAAAATATTTATTTATTGTTCATGCTATTATTTTGTTGGCATCAACTTAAAGAGAACAACAACAACAAAAAATCTGAAAATTTACATAAATGCATGCATATTTCTACCATTATTTGTCTCGTCTTTGCTGCATGAACAAAAGGAACAGGAAGAAGATAAATCTTAATCTCCCCTTTCACAGATCAAAAGATTAAACATTTCTTTAATAATCGTTCCCCAAAAACTAATCGAAGTCACCAGTTAATGAGCCATAATGTTACATTATCTCACTTGTGCTTTCATTCACTTTAAACATTTTCCTTAGTCACATCGTCCATCGTTATTTTATCCTTGTACATTTTCTTGAATTTAGAAACGTGTAATTTTTAAAATCATGATTTAACAAGTTCCATATCTCCGCACACAGAGACACATTTCTGTTTTCATGACGTCCTTGAGGATACAGTTCAGAAAAAATATTGTCTTCTATGGTCACAGTCGTCCAAGACAAACATAAAAAGATTTTGTAGAGCGTTGGGTAAATGTCTTTGTTTAGTTTTCCACAGAATGAATAAAATCTTAAGATCAACTAAGTCTTTAAACTTTAGTTGATTAGACTTAACAAACAGACAAGTGGTTTGCTCTCTGAATCCCTTTTTATTGATGATTCGTGTTGCTCTTTTTTGCAGCAGGAACAAAGGTTTTATGGTACTTGGATAAACGTTGCCCCAAACTTCTGAGCAGTGGCTAAAATATTGGAGAATTAACGATAAAATGTGAAGTGATTTACAGTCCAAAAAATCTTTACTTTATATAATATATAATACTCTATATAATATATAATCATATTTTATCTAAAATCTAAAATTACTCCCAAGAATTTTATCTCAGTTGCTCTCTCAAAACTAGCACCATCAACAGCTATTGCCACATTGTCATTCTTTTTTCGGTGACCAAAAATTATATACTTATTTTTTTCCCAATTTAAAAGTAACTCCTTAAACCAAACTCTCACTTTTGCCATTTCTTTTATGCTCTCTGTTGCTTCTATTAAGTTACTCCCAGAGTAAAAAATATTTGTGTCATCTACGAACAACGGGAATTGCAGCTTTTTTGAGGACTCACACAAATCATTAATAAACAAAACAAAAAATAATGGCCCCAGAACAGATCCTTGTGGAACTCCCACATTTCACCATTTTGTATTCTGAGTTTTGCCCATTAAAGTGAACATATTGTTGTCTGTTTATGATGTAGCTAGTAAGCCATTTATACACTGGTCCTCTCATTCCATAGCTATATCATTTTGATAGTAAGAGCTCATGATTTATGGTGTCAAAATCTTTTCACAAGTCAATAAACATGCCGATTGTAAATTATTCCTTGTAAGCTGCAATGATAATTTTCTTCATGAGATCTATTACAGCCAAGCTCGTAGATCTTTGAGGTCTGAACCCATACTGGTTATCAAAGACAAGTTCTTGCTTCTCTATAAAGATCTTTAATTTCTCTGCAAACCATTTTTTTAAGGACTTTAAAAAAAACTGTGAGAGAAGTGATATAGTCTATAGTTGTTAAATTTATGTTTGTCAAATTTCTTGAAAAGGGGGATTACTTTCGCTACTTTCATTTTTTTGGGGGAACACACAAAATACTAATGATGATTTTAAAGCAGTTTTTGTAAATAGACATTTAAGTCCTTAGGGTCCTAAGTGTGACATTTTTTATGTTCTGAGTGCACTGGTGATATTGGGAGACTACGGGTGATAAGAATTGACTCCAAAGCCAGTTGAATAGTTACATGATAGAAGTTTAATAATATCAGGATGCTCCATGTTACATCTTCGCGAGTGGCCCAGAGGTCCAGACTAAAGAGACGATCAGTATTTATAATTTATGATAATGAGTAGAATGAGGGAGTACACATGAACTCTTGGTACAGAGAAATATACATATAAGGCAAAAGTACAAAAAAAAGTATAAAAACTCAGAAGAGTCAGCTGTACGTGTTCAAATATAACAGGGACTATGGCAATGCCAGTTGTATATTGTTTAACAAAACCATGAACTCTTCTAGGCACTGGAAACTCCTATATACGATCATTTTTGCAAATCTAACACACATGTTGATAATGAGAAAAGGAACATTTCATACTTAAACGTGGCCCAATTTTATTTTTTTTAAATGGGGGGGGGGGGACTAAAAACTTTAACAAGAATTAGGACTTTCCACAAAAATGTTATGTTTTTAGCATTAACTAAATTGACTAAATTGCAGCTATCCATAGGAGGGGCCCACAGCTTGCGGTGCTTTGTTGTCATGACATCTATGGTGACATCAGCTCCTACTGGGGACCACAGTTTTCTAACACCAAAGTCAGAGCACTTGTTTCTTTTATTAAATCATTTTAGATCAATATTTAATTAAAATCCATGTTACTGCACAAAGTTACTCTAAAATGTTCTCCAAACAGAAGAGCAGACTAATGAGCAGGTGTTTGTTTAGGTGCAGCATGGCTCAGATGCTCAGGCTGGTTCTTCTCGGGGGGAGCGCTGTGGGGAAGAGCTCCTCAGGGAACACTATTCTGGGCCGGAGAGTCTTTGAGTCCAGACCTTCTCTGAGACCTGTGACCACTCTGGTCAGTGAGCACACTGAGCAGGTCCATGGACTGCAGGTGTCTGTGCTGGACACACCTGGGATCCTGAACCCCAACGCCCGACAGCTCATCCAGCCTGTGTGTGAGGAGCACCTCCACCGCCCCGGCTCTGTGTTCCTGGTGGTTCTGAAGGTGGGACAGGATCTCCTCAGAGCAGAACCAGGCTCTGCAGAGGACGGTGGAGCTGCTGGGAGCCGAGGGTCTGAGACACAGTCTGCTGCTCTTCACCTACGGAGCAGATTTAGAGGTAAAACTCCTGTTTATCCTCTCTAACTAATGTGGTGAAATGTTCCACAGTGGGGCTTTAACCCTGTTTAAATCACAGACTGTATAAAGGCTAACAGTTACAGCGACTAATCTGGAGCTCAATTCCATTAAACTGTGGTGTAGGTGAAGCACCCGCCACCCACTATATGGTGCTCGTGTCTCTCCTGCCCGACCCAGCTGACCTCTTCTCCCTGACCTCTGACCCGGCAGGAGACGAGCCCAAGTGTGATTTTAAATAAAAAGTGTAACTGAGTCATTGTGTAACAAGCAGCAAGCTCCACTGACGTGCTCAGTTCAGTTCACTGGGGCCTCGTGTGGCTCGTGTGGCTCGTGAGGCTCGTGTGGCTCGTGAGGCTCGTGTGGCTCGTGAGGCTCGTGTGGCTCGTGTGGTTCTTGGGTGTTTTGCTCTTTTGATGTTGAGCCGTTTTTCCTCGTGTGAGATGGACACAAGAGTCACACCTGCTCCAGATGTTTATGCCTTTCTCTTGTTTTAAGTGTAGATGTAACACATCTGTGAATCTGACACACAGAGGACAGTGTGACAGGTGCAGAGGTCAGTGTGACAGGTGCAGAGGTCAGTGTGACAGGTGCAGAGGACAGCGTGACAGGTGCAGAGGACAGTGTGGCAGGTGCAGAGGACAGTGTGACAGGTGCAGAGGACAGTGTGGCAGGTGCAGAGGTCAGTGTGACAGGTGCAGAGGTCAGTGTGACAGGTGCAGAGGTCAGTGTGGCAGGTGCAGAGGACAGCGTGGCAGGTGCAGAGGTCAGCGTGGCAGGTGCAGAGGTCAGCGTGACAGGTGCAGAGGTCAGTGTGGCAGGTGCAGAGGTCAGCGTGACAGGTGCAGAGGTCAGCGTGGCAGGTGCAGAGGTCAGTGTGGCAGGTGCAGAGGTCAGTGTGGCAGGTGCAGAGGTCAGCGTGTGCACAGGTGCAGCAGGTCAGGTGGCAGGTGCAGAGGTCAGCGTGACAGGTGCAGAGGTCAGTGTGACAGGTGCAGAGACAGGTGCAGAGGTCAGTGGCAGGTGCAGAGGTCAGTGTGGCAGGTGCAGAGGTCAGTGTGGCAGGTGCAGAGGTCAGTGTGGCAGGGAGCGTTGGTTTTAATGACTTTCTAAATGTTGTATAAGGTGGCGTCACCTCTGGTGAGTGCGGCAGGACCGAGCGAGGCTGTGGCAGGTGAGGCCCTTCTCACCTGCACCACTGTTTTAACATGGAGCAGCACTGAGCCGCGCTGTCAATCAAATCTGTTCGGTTTGTTATTATGTTCAGATCTTGATTTAGTGAAATAAAAAGTGAAATAAAAACCTCAGGATCATGTTAAGTATTTTGTAAAGTATTTTATGAGGAGCCTCACAGCAGCAGGGCCACACTTTTTAAAAACAAACTGAACTGGAGCCAGAGTCCATGGAAACAGAAGTGTGCCCATGCTCACTTCCTGTTTGGAACACAGCTGCTTGAGGTTTACCTTTGTCCATTTTCATACAGTCTGTGGGTCGGGGGATGGACAACATCCTCTGGTGTCCCTCAGGGCTCAGTGTTCTCTCCTGTTGTCTTCACACAGACTGCAGGAGCGCCACCTGCAGGTCTCTGTCTGTAACTCAAACTCCTAGAACCAATAAACTCTGATGTGACTGACGCCCTGTGGTCACAGCACAGGACTTACTCCATTTGCTTGTGCTTTTTATACATGTTCTGACGGGGCTTATTCTGTTCACTGACCTCTCCTGACCGCTCCTCTATGAGGTCACATGATTGTCCTGTTCATTTCAGTGGAGAAACAGGGAGAAGTCTCTGCAATAAATAAAATATAAAGTAGGTTTATTTGTGTGAAATGTTAAATATTCATGTGACACGTCACACAAAGATCAGACACAACTGGAATAATTCTGGCAGCTTCTAAATCCAGTTTGAGGAAAAGCACTGACTTGTTTCCTTCTGCTCTTTTAAGGGGACGAGTCTGGAGGACTTCATCTCTGAGGACAATGAGAGTCCTCTGCCCGACATCTTTAACAACATGTTTGGACGGAGACATCATGTGTTTGACAACAAAGCCTGGGGCCCCGAGCAGGTCCAGACTCTCCTGCAGAAGATCCAAACCTTTCAAACAGGGATGTTTCCTCCAGGTGAGTCTCCTCAGCTGAGTCCTCAGAGGTTCAGGTGAGGCTGGGGTGGGGCAGCCTCTGATTCAAATCCTGAAGGAGACATGTTCAGCTTTAAGCCCAGTTTGCACTGATCCGGGCTCCGCCACCTCAAGGACACAGTTGGTCCACTGCGCAGCCAACGGAGAACTCCACAGGACACAAGCTCCCAACATCTGACCAAACCAAAGAGGAAACATGGATTTAAGTGTAGAAATGTTCAACCATTATAAAAATACAGACTTAAACTGTACCAAGTCTGAAGACACAGAGGAGAAAACTTTGTTTTGATTTGAGTGAGTTGTGCTTCATACACAGAATCTTCCAGGATCACAGTAAAAGGTGTTTGTCTGTGGAATGTTTCCTTCACCATGACACATTCCTGACCAATCAGAGTTTTCCTTTGACACATCCACAGACTTCTCAACTACAGAACTCTGTTCTTTAAAGATTCTCTCTCACAGCGCCACCTTCTGTCAGCTTCATGTGGGCGGCAGGTGTATTGGTTTGCACTGAGCTTAGACTGTTGCTGTCTGTTGGTGATCAGTGTTTTCTGTTTGTAGGCATCGGGCTTGAAGATGTTGATCTTCACAGAGACTTAAGGCTGGTGTTGCTGGGTCTGCCTGGAGCAGGGAAGAGCTCGTCTGGAAACACCATCCTGGGGCCAAAGACATTCAGGGCGAGTTGTGGGTTCAACACCGTGAGCATAGATGCAGAGTGTAAGACTGCGACGGTGCAGGGGCGGAGGGTCACGGTGGTGGACACTCCAGGCTTCAGCGATGAGAAACTGAAACCAAAGAAACTGTTCAAAGAGATCATGGAGTCTGTGCTTCGTCTGACCGCTGGACCCCACGCCTTCATCATCGTGGTGCGTCTGGGCCGAATGAACCTCAGAGACACCAAACTCCTGCAGCTCATGCCCAAACTGTTTGATGAAGCTGCCTCAAAGTTCACGATGGTTTTGTTCACTCATGGAGATGACCTCAGAGAAGAGAACGTCCAAGATCTGATCAATAAAAATGACATCTTTAAGACTCTGTTACAGGAGTGTGACCAGCGCTACCACGTCTTCAACAACAAGAGCTCTGACCCTCAGCAGGTCCGACATCTGTTCACCACGATTGACGACATGGTCCAAGCGAGCGGAGAAAACCAATGTAACTCTCAGATCTTAAAACTGACAAAAGCTGAAGAAATAGAAAGGTTCTTTCAGGAGCTGTGGAGGAGGTGGGGTGCCCTTTTCAGTCGCGTCGCTCAAACAAAAGATGGTTCAGATGAAGAACTGCAGCTATTAGCAGACGTCCAGTAACTCACAGAGTTTATGTTCGTGTAATGCTGCGTCAAGTCAGTGACAGATTTAGAGTCAGTCATGATACTCGTTTGCTTTATATTTTGATTATTTGAATCATCAGGAACAGCTCTGTGTTTTCTGTCAGATGAAGCTTTAGTTCTGAGAAGAAAAATAGTTTCTGAATAAAGTTTAAACATTAAAGTTCAAGAAAAAACTGTAAAATCCTGAATCACTGTAATCACCAAACACTGAAATAAAACAGCCACATCAGTTTGTCTCCAGGTTTTTCTGCTCTGTTCTGTCTGTCTGTCTGTCTGTAGTCTGTCTGTATTCTGTCTGTCTGTAGTCTGTCTGTAGTCTGTCTGTAGTCTGTCTGTATTCTGTCTGTTGTCTGTCTGTAGTCTGTCTGTAGTCTGTCTGTAGTCTGTCTGTCTGTAGTCTGTCTGTCTGTAGTCTGTAGTCTGTCTGTAGTCTGTCTGTAGTCTGTCTGTATTCTGTCTGTAGTCTGTCTGTATTCTGTCTGTAGTCTGTCTGTAGTCTGTCTGTAGTCTGTCTGTATTCTGTCTGTAGTCTGTCTGTAGTCTGTATTCTGTCTGTAGTCTGTCTGTATTCTGTCTGTCTGTCTGTAGTCTGTCTGTAGTCTGTCTGTATTCTGTCTGTTGTCTGTCTGTAGTTTGTCTGTAGTCTGTCTGTTTCTGTCTGTAGTCTGTCTGTATTCTGTCTGTATTCTGTCTGTGTCTGTAGTCTGTCTGTATTCTGTCTGTATTCTGTCTGTAGTCTGTCTGTAGTCTGTCTGTATTCTGTCTGTATTCTGTCTGTCTGTCTGTATTCTGTCTGTATTCTGTCTGTAGTCTGTCTGTAGTCTGTCTGTATTCTGTCTGTAGTCTGTCTGTAGTCTGTCTGTAGTCTGTAGTCTGTCTGTAGTCTGTCTGTGTCTGTCTGTATTCTGTCTGTAGTCTGTCTGTAGTCTGTTTGTCTGTAGTCTGTCTGTATTCTGTCTGTATTCTGTCTGTATTCTGTCTGTAGTCTGTCTGTCTGTCTGTAGTCTGTTCTGTCTGTAGTCTGTCTGTAGTCTGTCTGTAGTTCTGTCTGTATTCTGTCTGTATTCTGTCTGTATCTGTCTGTAGTCTGTATTCTGTCTGTATTCTGTCTGTATTCTGTCTGTAGTCTGTCTGTATTCTGTCTGTAGTCTGTCTGTAGTCTGTCTGTAGTCTGTATCTGTCTGTCTGTCTGTCTTAGTCTGTCTGTAGTCTGTATTCTGTCTGTATTCTGTCTGTATGTCTGTAGTCTGTCTGTAGTCTGTCTGTATAGTCTGTCTGTATGTCTGTCTGTAGTCTGTCTGTAGTCTGTCTGTATTCTGTCTGTATTCTGTCTGTAGTCTGTCTGTCTGTCTGTAGTCTGTCTGTAGTCTGTCTGTATTCTGTCTGTATTCTGTCTGTAGTCTGTCTGTATTCTGTCTGTAGTCTGTCTGTAGTCTGTCTGTATTCTGTCTGTAGTCTGTCTGTAGTCTGTCTGTATTCTGTCTGTAGTCTGTATTCTGTCTGTATTCTGTCTGTAGTCTGTCTGTAGTCTGTCTGTATCTGTCTGTATTCTGTCTGTATTCTGTCTGTATAGTCTGTCTGTAGTCTGTCGTCTGTAGTCTGTCTGTAGTCTGTCTGTAGTCTGTCTGTATAGTCTGTCTGTATGTCTGTCTGTAGTCTGTCTGTAGTCTGTCTGTATTCTGTCTGTATTCTGTCTGTCTGTAGTCTGTAGTCTGTCTGTATGTCTGTCTGTAGTCTGTCTGTATTCTGTCTGTCTGTCTGTAGTCTGTCTGTATTCTGTCTGTATGTCTGTCTGTAGTCTGTCTGTCTGTCTGTCTGTAGTCTGTATTCTGTCTGTAGTCTGTCTGTATGTCTGTCTGTGTCTGTAGTCTGTCTGTATTCTGTCTGTAGTCTGTAGTCTGTCTGTAGTCTGTCTGTAGTCTGTCTGTAGTCTGTATTCTGTAGTCTGTCTGTAGTCTGTCTGTATTCTGTATTCTGTCTGTAGTCTGTCTGTGTCTGTCTGTAGGTCTGTCTGTAGTCTGTATTCTGTCTGTATCTGTCTGTAGTCTGTCTGTAGTCTGTCTGTATTCTGCTGTAGTCGTAGTCTGTCTGTAGTCTGTCTGTAGTCTGTATTCTGTCTGTTGTCTGTCTGTATTCTGTCTGTCTGTCTGTATTCTGTCTGTATTCTGTCTGTATAGTCTGTCTGTAGTCTGTCGGTCTGTCTGTCTGTAGTCTGTGTCTGTCTGTAGTCTGTCTGTATTCTGTCTGTTAGTGTCTGTCTGTAGTCTGTCTGTAGTCTGTCTGTATCTGTCTGTAGTCTGTAGTCTGTAGTCTGTCTGTAGTCTGTCTGTAGTCTGTCTGTCTGTGTCTGTCTGTATCTGTCTGTATCTGTCTGTCTGTAGTTCTGTCTGTAGTCTGTCTGTCTGTAGTCTGTCTGTCTGTATTCTGTCTGTGTCTGTCTGTAGTCTGTCTGTAGTCTGTCTGTATACTGTCTGTCTGTACTGTCTGTATTCTGTCTGTAGTCTGTCTGTATGTCTGTCTGTCTGTATTCTGTCTGTAGTCTGTCTGTATTCTGTCTGTAGTCTGTCTGTAGTCTGTCTGTAGTCTGTATTCTGTCTGTAGTCTGTATTCTGCCTGTCTGTATTCTGTCTGTATTCTGTCTGTATGTCTGTCTGTCGTCTGTAGTCTGTCTGTGTCTGTCTGTATTCTGTCTGTAGTTTGTCTGTATTCTGTCTGTATTCTGTCTGTAGTCTGTCTGTAGTCTGTATTCTGTCTGTAGTCTGTCTTAGTCTGTCTGTAGTCTGTCTGTATTCTGTCTTTAGTCTGTCTGTAGTCTGTCTGTAGTCTGTATTCTGTCTGTATTCTGTCTGTAGTCTGTCTGTATTCTGTCTGTTGTCTGTAGTCTGTCTGTCTGTCTGTAGTCTGTCTGTAGTCTGTCTGTAGTCTGTCTGTAGTCTGTCTGTAGTCTGTCTGTTGTCTGTATGTCTGTCTGTGTCTGTCTGTCTGTGTCTGTAGTCTGTCTGTGTCTGTAGTCTTCTGTCTGTATCTGTCTGTCTGTATTCTGTCTGTATGTCTGTCTGTATTCTGTCTGTCTGTAGTCTGTCTGTAGTCTGTCTGTCTGTAGTCTGTCTGTATTCTGTCTGTAGTCTGTAGTCTGTCTGTCTGTAGTCTGTTGTAGTCTGTATTCTGTCTGTATTCTGTCTGTCTGTATTCTGTCTGTAGTCTAGTCTGTAGTCTGTCTGTAGTCTGTCTGTAGTCTGTCTGTAGTCTGTCTGTAGTCTGTCTGTAGTTTGTCTGTAGTTATTTCACTCTCTAGAATCAGCTGTGTTCTCTATCAGTTGGAGCCTCAGTTCAGTGAAACAGTTGTGAAGAAACTTAGAAAATATGATGAAAATTTGGAGAAAAGATGATGAAAAAAATTATGAAAAATTTAGGGAAAATTAAGAAGAAACTGAGGAACAAAATGGTTATGAATCTGAATAAAAATCTAGTTAAGAAAGGACTAAAATATCTGTGTAAAAAAACCAAAAAAACATGCAAAACAACAGGAAAAACTGGTAAGAAATTTGTTATAAATTAAAATGTTGTAGGTAAAAGAGATGTAGAGCACAGCAGATTTTGTTGGTTTGTGTATGTGTTGCCATAGCGACAAAAAACTAAAGAAAATTTGGGGATAAGATGACGAAGAAATTATGAAAATTTAGAAGAAAAAAAAGCGACAGAAAAAACATATGAATTGCTGTAAAATCTGGTTAAAAAAAAATAATAATAAGTTAAAAGAAAATCGAAAATTGCAAAAAAAAAAAAAAAAAAATTAAATTAAAAACGGAATATTTAGAGAAATAAATTTGAATTTTTTTTTTTGAAATTAGTTAGTTTTAGAAATTAGAAATTAGTCATAAATTGGGGGAAAATTTTTTTTATTTCAGTAAAAATTCTGCAATCTGTCTGTAGTTTATAGGCTAAAAAAAATAGAAAATTGGGAGAACATGAACAAAATTTTGGGGAAAAATACTGAAATTTGTGGATTTTTTTTTATTGGTAAGAAATTATTTATAAATTGAGGTAAATTTTTTGTGCAAATTCTGTAGTCGGTCTGTAATTTATAAGATGAAAAATTATGAAAAAAAAAGTGATAAAATTACAAAAAACAGGAAAAATAGATTTTTTCAGGGAGAAAAATTATGAAAATGAAAATGTAAGAAATTATTTACAAATTGGGTAAAAAATGTAAAAATCTGTCGTCTATAGTTCTGCACCGACCTGTATCCATCAGGTGTCAGATGCCAGGTGACAGGTGAAGGACAGGTGAAGGACAGGTGAAGGACAGGCAGGTGAAGGACAGGTGAAGGACAGGTGAAGACAGGACAGGTGAAGGCAGGTGAAGGGACAGGTGAAGGACAGGTGAAGGCAGGTGAAG